TGGTCGTGGTCAGGGCGCCGGGATAGGGCATCTGCGACCCGATTAGTCTCACCCTTGATGTGCTCAGTGGTGAAACTAAACTCAGATAGGTCGCGCCACCAGCGAGCCTGTCAAGGAGTGAGCTTCGGCTTTGTCAGAAAAGCCTTGACAACAGAGTTGTCGGTGCGCACCGTGAATGGTGCCCCGTGCAGGTAGTGACGCCAGTGCCAAGTGGCATAAACTACTGCGAGAACCTCACGTTCATCAGCAGTGCAGTTTATCTCGACGGGCAGGAGCTGACGGGAGTAGAAGGCTATCGAATAATCACCTGAGCGAGACTCGACAGTGCCGTCATCGACGATGGTAGGAGAATAGTCAATAGAAGGCTCGTCAGTAGCTGAACGAGTAGGCGTCAGTCGGAAAGCAGTGGAAGGGGTATGTGGTGGGAAGCGAGGGATATGAGGATGAGAGGAATCAGGAGAGGAGGGGAAAACCTGAGAAAGCACTGCTCCCACAGCGAAGTCTGACACATCGGTGGTAAGGATAAAAGGGCGGTCAAAATCGGGTAGGTGAAGAACCGGTGCGCATGTCACCGCCTTCTTGAGGGCGCGGAAGGCGTCCTCGTGGAGGGGTGTCCAAGCCCAGGGAGGGTTCTTCCGGAGGAGGGTGGAGGTAAGGACGTAGGAATACCTAGCGTATCCCCGGATGAAGTTACTGTAGTAGCTGGTCAGGCCTAGGAAGCTGCGAAGCTGCTTGGCGGATGTGAGAGCGGGCCACTCCGCAATAGCAGTGATCTTCGCGTCGTCCATGTGGAGACTCTGGTCAGACACGTAGTGTCCTAAGAAATCCACTTTGTGCTGGGTAAAGCGGCACTTGCTCAGCTTGGTGTAAAAGCCATGTCTCCGCAAGCGGTCCAGGACGTCGCGGAGATGTCTGAGGTGCTCCTCAAGGGTACGACTGTAGACCAGGATATCGTCGAGGTAGACGAGAACGTACTGCTCCAGGATGTCCCTGAAGATGTCGTTCATCGCCCTCTCAAAGGTAGCGGGAGCATTAGTGAGGCCGAATGGCATCACCGTGAACTCGAAGTGGCCGAATCGTGATCGGAACACGGTCTTCGGCTGGTCGGCTGCAGCGACGCGGATCTGATGGTAACCGCTACGAAGATCAATCTTCATAAAGAAGCGGTTGCCTGCTAGGCGGTCGAACAACTCATCGGAATGAGGCATGGGGTAGCTGTTCTTAATCGTGTAGCGGTTGAGACCACGATAGTCGATGCAGAGACGAAGAGTTCCGTCCACTTTGCGAGCAAAGAGGACGGGTGCACCCCACGGGGAGTTGCTGGGTTTAATGAAACCCAGTCTCAAGTGCTCCTCAAGCTGACGCTTGACTCAAGCTGACGCTTGAGTTCGGTGGCCTCGGGGATCGAGAGTCTGTAGGGTGTCTAGTGGTGAACACAATAGTCAGGCACAAGCTGAATGGAGTGCTCGACGTCACGCATCGGTGGGATGCCGGCGTACGAGAACAACGATGGGAAAATGTCGTGGTACTCTCGGATGAGGTCACGAACTGCGGGCTCCAAGTCAGCCGTATATCGTGCGAGTTCCTCAACGTCAGCGTCAGCGCGCGACGGCGGGGTGGACTCGACGCACGGCGGAGGGACGAAAGTAGAGATGAGAGCCATTGAGATAGAGGGAGGATCTGGCTCTAGAGGGATGAGCTCGGCGTCGGGATAGGGTGGATCAAAGTGTAAGAGATCCGTCATGTCCACCATAAAGAAGGTGACGTCATCCTGTCGAATGAAGTGAGCGAACTGCCGAGGCGAGGTGACAGTGATAGAGGGAGATGGTGTGGGCACTGAAGGCTCCGGGGGAGGAGGATCGGGGCGTGGGGTCGCCGTGGTACCTATGAAAGGTACGCGATACGTCTGTCCACACTTCGTTTTGAGAACGAGAGTGTTGGTCGCCCAATCGGC